GTCATTATGCCAGGGGTCCTCTTCTGTCTCCTCCATGTTTCGTTTTGGGGTCCTGGATGATCACTTAACCACTCAGCAGCCCCCTTTCATCACCCCTAAGTCAGGTGCAGTCATCATAAGTGGCGGTCATTGCTCACCAGCTTACTCCAGACACCCACTAAGCATGGTTTGTGGGTTACGCCATTTATCTTCCACCAAAACACGTAATGGGTGAGAACTAATTATTTGTACCTGAGCACGTGTTTTCCCATAGCCTCTCCAAAATGGCTGAGATGATTCAATGAGAGGGCGAGACAAAGACTTGCCAAATGTAAAGCATTGTACTTGATTCTTGCCATCTAGCTTCAAGACCTATCCAAAACATTTCCTCAGTAGCATGCTCTCGCTGTAGATTATGTACAGGACTCGATTCAATTCAATAGTACTTCAGGATCAAAGTGTAACAATTGCTTTGTCTACATAATAATTTCAAATTATTTTTTTTAAAAGAGGCATTCTGTGTTGTCCTTCAGTGGTTATCTATAGCTGACTTCCCAACCAGAATTAGGTAAAAATGAAGCCCTTTTCAATTAGCATCTGCCCTTGGCACCCAGATGCTTAGGGGCTGGAGAGATAGCTCATCAGCAGTTAACAGCATGTGCAGACAGAGGACATCTTGCAAAGGACCTGGTTCACAGCTGTCTGTGAGTCCAGGTCCAGGGCGTCTAAGGCCTTCTGCACTCCATGGGTGTGTGTTCACAGGTGCACGCCTCCATGCACATTCGAATAATTAAAAAATGAAATCAGTCTTGCAAAAGGAAACAGCTGAGGATGCGTACAGCTTAGTGCCTCTTACGCCACTTTCTCAGGGATCCCAGAGCAACCACATCTGTGAGCAAAGAAAAGCATTGAGAACATGGAGGTGTGTGGGAAGAGTGTGTTCTTTTAGATGAAAAAGGCTATTGATTTTCCAGCAGAAAGGGAGAAACAGGAAACTCTAGAAGTCTGTCTTTGCCTTCTTTCCTAGCGTTTGGGCTAAGCCCTGGGCCAACCTGTATCTTTGGGGTCTTCCTTAACTGCCTGCATTAGTTCACACATTCTGGATTCTTCATTTTCCTATGGAAAAGATTAACACTTCATAGATTCTTTCTGCTTCACTTCTTGGGCGGTGGAAAGCAGAGTTGAGATTCTCAGGAGTTCAGTTGCCGAAGCTGAAGGAAGAAAGGGCAGAGTCGACACAAGACAGACAAAATCTTAAGCGTCTCCGAGCAATGGCCAGTGAGATAGATAACTCAGTGGGTAAAGGTGCTGAATTTAATGACCTGAGTTCATTCCCCAGGACCCAGTTGGTGGAAGGAGAGAACTGATGCCCACAAGGTGTTCTCTGACTTCTGTAGGTATATACCCACAGGCATATACACACAGGCTTGCTAATTAACCAACCAATCAACCAGTGGACTAACTAGCTAGCTAGCCAGCCAACTAGCTAGCCCAACCAACCAACCAACCAACCAACCAACCAACCAACCAACCAACCAAC